AAATTACAGGCAAAACATGTGGCCCCAAGCGCGGTTTTTTCTTATCTTTCTTTTTTGCCACTCTTTCAGCTTTCAACTTGATTAATTGAGACACGCTGTCAATGGATTAGCTAAGCTATGCGCAGACCGAGAGACCGAAAAAAAAAACTTGTGAAAAGTTTCGAGAAAAACTCGTTGAAAGTTTGCAGCAAATTACTTAATTGAATACCGAAAACTGATTAGCGGAAAACTTGTCTTTGGCTGGACTTGGGCATAACCTTGCACTTGACTAAGCGCAAGGTCATCCACAAAAAAAAAAAAAGAAAACAGGCGAACGAAAAGAGACAAAAATATCGCAGAAAAACAGCCAACACAGCCAGCACTGAAATCAATTCTGCATTTGCATATGCATGAAATTTCCAGCCTTTGACTCCAAATGGGCAGCGACAGGGGCAGCTCTCTTGGCCAGGTCAGCTGAGCTGAGTGGAACGTTGTTGGCTGCTATATGGCTGCTATATGGCCTGAACCCCATATTTATTCGTTTGTCTACCACTCGAGCGCTCATTCAACCATTCAGGCATTCATTCGGTTATTCAGGCTTATTGCAAACAGTTGCCCCTAACAGCAACAGCAACAACAACAACAACTTGCAGTTTTTCACGTTTTTCACTTTGCCTTTTTATTCCAGCATTTCGCCTTCGCCGTCCGCGCTTAAAGCTGCTTGGACCTTGGCCAACTGACTGCCCAACTCTTTGTAAATTGAATAAAAGGCAAGTGAAAATAATAGAAAGATGCAAACTAATTCGCCAACTATTTGGCCAACTAGCGCAATAAATCTGCAAAAAGTTATTTGCGTTAATTTTGTTTATGCAGACTTCTTCGGGAAATTATGAAAAAGGCCCGGCGAGAGAAAACTTGGGTTCATAAGCAGACCTAGATTTAATCAAATGATAGGGTCCATGCCCACACGCACACATCCCGGCGGCTCGATAATAAAGTCAATATATTTCAATGTCGCAGTTCGATTAATAGAGTGAGAGAGAGCGAGAGAGGGAGAGTAAGGGATTGAGTGGGAGTGGGCAGGGGAGCCATAGGAAATGCCTAAGGCTTCATGCGAAATGTGCATGGGCTGGAAAAATGCTTTCAGCTCTAGATAAACTATCCACAGATTTTTGCACGCAGCAGTGAGGGGGAGAAGGCAAGGAAGGGTCCACACATTATGGCCAGCAAACATACTGTGGGCGCAACTGACAGAATACACACATAACAAACACACACACACACAGGCACACACATTCTCACACACTCGCACTCTCATATCTCTTTCAGCTGGCTGCGGGTCGAGTAATTTTGTTGTGCGTTGGCACCACAAATTAGAGAGGGGCGGCAGGCGACTCTAGCGGCGGGGGCTACGAAAGAGAATTTTGTTTGTGTGTGTGTGGTTTTTTAAGTGTGTTGTTGTTGTTGATTTGGGGTTTTTGTGGTTAATTGTTTTTTTATTTTTGAGCGGTGGTTGGGGGTTTTTTTAGTTTATGTGTTTGGGTGTGTGAATTTTTTTAAATTGTTTTGTTATTTTGTTTTTTTTTATTAATTTTATAAAATGTTTGTGTTTTTGTTGTTTTGGTGGTGGGTCTATCGAATTAAAATGTAAGCTAATTTAGTAGTTTTAATTTGGAAGTTTGTCGATTGCCTAATGGGCGAGTATCGCCTGCTTGGCGGGTGGGGTACTACAATTAGGCCTAAACATGATGGTTATCGATGCTTTTTTTGCCGCCCGGGCGGATGGGAAAATTTTAACACTTTATAATCGGAGTTAAGAGTATGTTAATTTTATTTGAAAAAGCTCGAAAATTGCCTGTCAAATGACAAAAATGGTTTCATTTCTGTGCCCCTAATGGCAGTTGGTCATTTTTTATGACCGGCACAAAAAATAGTCAAAAAAAAAAAAAAAAACGAAACCAACAGAACAAATAGCTTTGGGTTGCGTGATAGAGACCCGATCGGACTACCCTACTAACGGATACCTACACCCATACATATATATACATATGCATATATATAAGCTTGGATAAACACATTCATTGGTCGGGTTAGACCGCGTGCTGTGGCCGTAATGGTATCGCACGATTGGAGCTTTTGTTTTCTCTGTAAGGGTTAACTAAAAGCCAAACAATTTGTGTGACTCTGCGAAGTCAAGAGGTTAAACCTGTAGTTAAACAAACGCTATGCATGGTAAATATTTCACTCTTCTTTGCTTTTCTTCTGCTTCTTTTTATTTTCTTTCTTTAACCTTGAATTGAACTTGAACTCGTTGCCGGCTTTGATTTCAGGTCAAATGTTGATGGTTCGGCTTAATTAAATCACTGAAAAATGCCATTCGACATGAATGGGTATTCATAAAAAGACCAATAGACCTGAACATTAATCATAAGCTGAAGTCTATGTAGTTAACTTAGGGCTTAAGTGTTATCTAATTATAGAAAATAATTCTCTCATGAACAATTTCATATTGTATAGAACAACAGCATTATAAAGATGGCTTAAATCGTGTGAAACTTTGTTTAGCTCATGATATTATATACATATATAATTTATATATACTTTTTTAGTACGTTGCTCTCCTTCAACAGCTTCTCAAAAATTTCGAATATAAGATAAAAAATATGATGTTTAAGAACTCATAAAATGCCAATTTATTAGCTTTCTCAATTTTTCCCTTCTTCATCGTCTCCCAATTTCCCCCGACAAAGTGTGTAATCTATTTTATCATCTCCTTTTCCGTTCGCTGTTATTCAAGAATTTAAGAGCTTTCGATTCCATTAAAAAGCAACTGAGTTTTTCAGTTGACTGCTCCATAAATATATATTTCAAGGAGCGCCTTCCTTTCACATAGCTTAGAATATGAAATTCTGTGCTCGGTGCACTCGTAAAGTTTCCCAAGTAAAGCCAAATAAATGTGTTGCCATATTCTCGATTTTTACACATCTTCAGGTTTTCTTTATAGTTTTTATTTTTCGCTGTCCACTTGGCTAGCGAAATGTTGCAATTGCAGTGGCTGTAAAGGGTCTCAAGTAGTTGGCACCCATAAATCGCTTCCGCGCAATTGCATTGATTGAGGCGGATAACGAGGTCCTTAGCCACTGAAATATAAACATTGCCTGGCTATTTAATGAAGCATAAAGCAAGCAGGCTGCAGTTGGTCTAGCCTCTTCCCCCTTGCTCATCCTCTTATTCAACTTGTTGTTGTTTTTATAGGTTTTCAGCTCGTTATCCTCAATCTGCACCTTGAAGGCAGCCCAGTGGACAGCGAGAGACATAAAACTGTCAAAAAGTCGCCTATATAAATCGCTAAACTAAATGCCTTTCATAGTTTAATGTCACCTCCGGGGATTTGAGTCAACACAAGCACACACATACACACACACACGCACACAAACACTGGGGATCTATAGCAGACAACGTGTCTCTATCGTACGGCTGCTGTTGCTGCTGCAACAACAACAGCAACAACAGCGGAAAGTAGAAGAACAAGCACAGCCAACATCAAAGTGGCAACAACTGCGAACTAAGCAATTACACTAAGAGAAAAAGGGATGCTTCTATGAAAAACTTGATAAATATTTTTTAAAAAAGGTGTAAATTATCACTGGATTTAATTATATGAAATATACATTTATAGCCAAGTTATTTTCAGTCCATTTTTAGTTCTGCTAACGAAAATTTCGTACAGAATGTGAATTTTATTTTAAATCCTCGGAGAGTACAAAATCTGTATTGGTCTATTCAACTATTTCATCGATTTAGTATCATAATTAATATCCCAAATTTATGTTAAGATTTTTTTTAAAACAATATCGATATACTCGTGATATTCTCTAGATTTTTAAAATATTTATATATTACATACGAATACTTAAACAACCTTTTTAAAGTTTTTCCATACTTTTAATATTAAATTTAAATATTTATTAACCTCATTTAGAGAAGAATCATAAATAATATTCTAAAATGATAATAATATATAAATTAATTATAAAAGAGACTTCACTTAACCAAAAATTAGTTGAATTAAAAAACCAAACATCTCAAACGAACACACATTGATTTTCTACAAGGAAAAAGTCGAGCTCTTCCGCTGACTACAAGCTGAGGAATTTTGGCACTGCCTCAATTTCATTGGATGTCTAACATATTTCGACTGGAACAACATTTGTACTTAATTTGAGCAGAGAATTCCGTAAATTTTCTCGTTGTGTAGCTACAACATCGGGTTAGACTCTGTCTTTGACTTTGGTGTCCTGCTCGACTTGCGGTTGTCATTAAAGGCGCATGAATTATGCAGTAGCCCAACTGAACTAGTTGCAGTGGACGCCGTCTGGATCTGAGGCTCGAACTGGCCTTTGTTTGTTGTTTTAATTAACTAATTAAGATTTTTCTATGTTGCAGCCACAGCAAGGGCAGAGCAGCGCAGAGTAGTAAACACATCCATAGCAACAGGGACAGCGGCAGTGGGAGGGAGGGGCAGAGGCGGTGGCAGTGGCAGTGGCAGTGGCTGAGGTAAGCAGCGTGGAATGTTGGCATCATTTGTTTTTGTTGCCGGCCAAGTTGCTAAGGACCCAATTAACCTTTTATGGCCATTTGGCACAATAACGAGAAGCGAGCAGCCAACAGCAAAGACAATGCCATACAATGTTAAGCTACTTGGGCGCATCTCGAGAGCCAGACAGACAACTGGCAGCTGCAACTGCAACTGCAACTGCAACAGCAACTGCAACGGCAACTGCTGCCGAGAGTTGGCTAAATTGTTGGCCATATTCGGCACTTATTAGTTTGAGCCCAAAACAATGAACTTGTTTTCGTTTTTGTTTTTTTATTATTATTATTTTTATTATATTTATATTTTTCCCTGCAACAAATTGACATTGGCAAACATTTGTTGTGCGCCCAAATGGGGCGAATGGCAATTTCCTGTTTGGCTCGTTTTCATTTGATTTTGATTTTTCTTTTTTCTGGGAACTCACCTCAACGCTCAACGCTCCATCAATTATTTATTTATTTATTTATAAATAATGTACTTTCAATGACTTCAGCAATTCTTATCTGCAAAATAAGAAAGAAATGCGTGAACACCATAAATTATCAGACACGTAGTTAAATATAGTCCATAGTCTATGTAAAAGTTAGATAAGCTTTTATTATCAACTGATAGTGCAGCCGCTCGATAATGCCTTTTTTCTATTTAATTAACTTTGGCCATAATTTATGGGCAAGCAATGCAATACGTTTCAGCCCAAACGCATAATAAATCCTCTGCTGCATATTAAATGTTGTAAATATTTCGCAGTTTTTTACGCCGTTTTGTTATGCAAATGCGTGGCTAAAACTTAATTCATTATAATTAAAATGCAATTGTTTCCTGTTCTTTCGGCCGGTCGGAAAGGTTAGCTTTCGCAGCATATTTTGCATAATTATTTATGACGTGTGCACAAAAACATAAATATTTATTGTAATTGTATGCTTTGGCGTTAAATAAGTGCAAATTATTTTGCCATAAATTAGATTACGTAAATTTATTTTTAAAGCCTAATCGATCGCTACCTATCGGCGCCGCATATATACATATATATATATACAAATTTATAATTGCTATAGTCTAATTGTATTAAAAATATTTCATAGCATTAAATACTATTGCTATGTAGGTCAGCAAACAAGTCACAAACAAACAAACAAACAAGTTACAATAGATTCGATTCTGAATGTACGAAAATTTTAACAAAATAATTATTATTTTATTACATTGAAATTATATAAAAGTGAAAAATGTGTTAATGCAAAACTTTTATTTTTTTTAGGCGAAAATGTGTTGACAGATTGTCAAGTTGCGTATAAATTCAACATTTAAATTATTTACTTTTGCTTTTTTACTGAATAGATGTTGGGTCTTAGAACTATATACAAAGTGAGTCATAAACCATTATTAATGTCTAGAAATAGAGAATATATGCTCATATTCATAGGATGTCCTGAAAGAACTTTGAACCTACTACCTGACTACTAAAAGTAGCTGTAATCTTTGACGTCTCGGATTATCTCTCTGCTGCAATATATTTTAGTTTTAGCATAAGAAATCTTTAAGAAGTCTTCCGCTTTTCAAGAATTACATTCTTCATATATCAAATGTTTTTATCTGCAACTTTTCTTTTTTATTTTTGTTCCCACTTTAAACTCCTTTATTTTCACCCATACAGTCAATCAGCTTATCAGTTTCAACACCTTGGCGACTGCCCCCAACCGGTTACGTGCTGGCTGTAATGTGCAACGGCTTCAAGGTGTTATGCCTTGACAACAGCAACAACAGCAACTTCTACTTTGCTTTAATACTTGTCTCTGTAGCGAGTGGTAGATAAAATCGCATGACGATAGCAACTACAAGAGGCCAGCGACAGCGTGTGGGTGTTGTAGCTGCTGAGGTGCGTGCGTGTGTGTCGCCTGGATACGTTTACTTGCTGACCAACACACACACACACGCAGACACGCACACACACTCGCATACGAGTCTATACATGTTTTTTACAATAACTAATCAGGTTAGACTAATTAGAAACGCATGAGGTGGCATGAGGCATGAGGTGGTAGACGAGGGCGTGGCAGTAGGCTACCTGGCTAGCAACTATAACTGGCATCGACATTCAAGCAGCGTATAATTTAATTAATACACGCCTGGACCCAAACCAAATTAATGAATTTGATTAGATCTCTGCATTTCTCTCTCTTCGATCCATCTAACTGAAGCACAAAGCTCCAACTAATTAATGTTTGTCACTAAATTCAGCAGGCCATAATTAATTTAATTGTAGTTCAATTGACAAATTTAGCTGGCACCAAAAACAGCTTCTGTTTTCAAGTGCTCTGAGCTGCTGTTGCCTTTAAGAGGCTTTAAAACAAATTTCGCACGCTCTGCGGCGCCCACCAACAGCGACAACAACAACAACAACAACAAGAGCGACAACGAGAGCAACAACATCAAAAACATTGTTGGAAGATTTGCGCCTTGGCAGTTCATTAAATGTATGTTGGGCCCAATAAGCAAAAGCCGCTTACATGGGCAGATCCACACAAAAAAGGGTGCGCGCCTCATCATTGCAAAATACTCCTAAAAGATACCCTATAAATATGAGGGGTATACGTCTGCTCAACACATTCAGCAGACAAGAATTTAAGCAATTTAATTAACAGAGAATGAATCAACTCATATAAAACTCATACAAATTCAATTAGTTATATACATATTTATGCATGTGAATTCAGAGAAACTTCTCTATGTTCTATAGCTAAACAATATACATTAATTATGAATTTATAGTCAAGCGCATTTTGGTGCACTCTCCACTTATGCACTCTCATTATTACTAAGGACAGCAAATTAATACAGATGACTCTGCAGCTGTGTGTTAGATAATTATGGCCATAACTTAATCTTGGATCATTCGAATCTTAACATTAGCACATAGAATACAATATGTATGCGTTCATTTAACAATATTTAAAGCTTTACGTTAGTTAAATTTTTATTATATTTTATTTATTTATTTATTTTTTATTCATAATATAATCATTAATTATTCATTATATATGATTGAATTTGAAACAAAACAGAGATTTTTGTACAAATAAAAAAATTGGTAGTGATATATGTGAAGTAAAGATTGAATAAAAAAGAGATTTGATAATAAAAAAAAAATAAATAAATAAATCGATTTTAATTTATTTCCAAACACATTATGTTATATAAGCAAAAAATTTGCATTGTAAAAAATGAATAAAAATCGAAATAAATAAATTGAATAATATAAAATTTATACACATGTAACATTCACAACTCTACTTTCAACATTTTCATAAAATTCGTTTCCGTACAAAGTATTTGTAGTGTAGCTGACTGTTCCATAATACCCAAAAATCAATATTTCTCAACTTCATATTATTTTTCTCCTCTTAGCCTGTAAATGGCGTAAATTATTTGCTAATGATCACAAAATGTTGCTGATCGTAAACACTCTTAAACGTACATAAACAGAATGCCTCTGGCCATTTTTTCGTTTGGCTTAAATTCAGTTCTTTTCGCTTTTTTCTGTCTCTGTATATTTTTTTTGTTTGTATATATTATTTTGGCTCGAGGCATTTAATTCTGTTCTTTTGGGTCTTCGCACAATGATGGTCATAAAAATAGCTTCGATAGGCCCATAATATTATTTACTTCTCTTTCGATGACTCTCTCTCTCTCTCTTCTCTCTCCTCTCTCTCTCTCTCTCTCTCTCTCTCTCTCTCTCTGTCTGTTTCTGTCGCTCTCAAATAGTTCTACTTGCTGCTGCCCCATCGCTCGTCATATTCAACGTCTTGATTAAGCGCAATTAATTGCTGATTTTAATTCCAATTTATGACCCTTGCAACTGATTGGAGGACGCACACTCGACACGGGACCAATAACTCAATAAAACACAATTTACATACATATAGTACATATATACCTTATACCCTTTGCTCTCGCTACGTTCGGCTGTCCATCATCCGAGACGAAGGTCGTATGCATATTTACACGAGTTGTTGTTGTTGCTATTGTACACGCAATCGCTTCTTTTGAATATTAATACAAATTTACATAGCCGGCTAACCTGTTTCGGATTGTGACTGTCCCACACTCTTTCACTCAACCTATCAAGCTGCGCTCTTTCCGCTCTCTCCCTCTCTCTCCCTCTCTCTCCCTCTCTCTCCCTCTCTCTCTTTCTCTCTCTCTCTCTCTCTCTCTTTCTGTCTCGCTTTCTCGGCAATCGTATAATTTGCCAGGCCTTTATGTTTATTGATTTTGGCTAGCGCCATGTACTTTTGGCCTGGCTTATGGACTTGGATTTAACGACTGTCCGGCTAACTAAGGCCCATTGCCACGCCAAAGTCCCTGGAGTGCATAAAGATTTGGCATTTGGATGAAAACATCTGTTAAGACTGTTAAGAATGACGCATAGAATAGGAATTGAACAACTTAATGCTGTCTAGAACAAAGCTATAAAAAATAACGAGAGAGAGAAAGGGAGAGAGATAGCCATGAGAACAAGTCAAATTAGCTTTGGGCTTTTCATAAAATATTTAAGTAACGATAGCAAAAGAAAAACAACCAATAATTTCAAAAAGTTAGGCACAACAAAGAATGAAAGAAAAGGACACTTTGATATCAAAGGACAATTTGATATCATGAAAAGTAAAAAGAGAGAGAAAGAGAGAGAGAGAGAGAGAAAGGCCACTCAGGCCTATTGAATAAGTTTGGATGAGCATGAGATCAGCAGCGCAGAAGATCAACGAATTTTAAATTATGCATAACACTCTCTATGTATTTGCATATTTGTATATATAAAATATTCCCCTTTATTATGATAGTTGTATATAAATATGTATTCCTAACATCAATGCAGATGCCCATACCATACCCATATACATATAGGCAGCAGAACGTGTATCTGGCTCAATTTATTGGCCATAATTTTGTTTTGGGCCATTTCGTAGCTGGTTTTTGCAAAGCTCAAACAAAAGTTACACCGAATCCAGTGATTTGTCTTGGGTTTAGACGGCACTCAAAGGAAATGAAGATTTAGTGGGTTCAGCAAGGGGTCTGCCACATGTTGGGGCATGCCACGGCGCTGTTGTTGGCTTAACCGACAAATTTAATTACAAAACAATAAACGCTGTCCGCCAGGACAATGGACGGCCGACAATAAAGAGGCAAATAAAAATGCCAGGCAATAATTTCATGTGCAGTCGCAAAGAGTCGCGACTTGCAGCAAAAATGCGAATTATTTGCGCAACGTAAATACAACGTGAGGTCCGCAGCCAAGTGCAACACACGAAGTACGGACAAGTCGTGTCAGCATCCGGGGAATGCTGCAACTCAAGTCCCTTTCAGATGCTGGTGCTGGTGCTGGTGCTGCCGTCGCTGTTGCAGCACAGAAATTGCAAATCATGCAATTTGTGAGCACTTCGAATGCAATCAGCCAACTGTTTGATTTATGTTCATTTGCAGTTGCCAATTCCTGCGCTCCTCTTTTATT